AGATCTCTAAGATCTGCAAAATGTGGAGGGTGTGAAGATCTAGATCTGCAGGTGTGAGGGTGTGAAGATCTAGATCTGCAGATGTGAAGGTGTGAAGATCTAGATCTGCAGGTGTGAAGGTGTGAAGATCTAGATCTCCAGATGTGAGGGTGTGAAGATCTAGATCTGCAGGTGTGAAGGTGTGAAGATGTAGATCTGCAGATGTGAGGGTGAGAGATCTAGATCTGCAGATGTGAGGGTGAGAGATCTAGATCTGCAGATGTGAGGGTGAGAGATCTAGATCTGCAGATGTGAGGGTGGGAGATCTAGATCTGCAGATGTGAAGGTGAGAGATCTAGATCTGCAGATGTGAGGGTGGGAGACCTAGATCTGCAGATGTGAGGGTGAGAGATCTAGATCTGCAGATGTGAAGGTGAGAGATCTAGATCTGCAGATGTGAGGGTGAGAGATCTAGATCTGCAGATGTGAGGGTGAGAGATCTAGATCTGCAGATGTGAGGGTGAGAGATCTAGATCTGCAGATGTGAGGGTGAGAGATCTAGATCTGCAGATGTGAGGGTGAGAGATCTAGATCTGCAGATGTGAGGGTGAGAGATCTAGATCTGCAGATGTGAGGGTGAGAGATCTAGATCTGCAGATGTGAGGGTGAGAGATCTAGATCTGCAGATGTGAGGGTGAGAGATCTAGATCTGCAGATGTGAAGGTGAGAGACCTAGATCTGCAGATGTGAGGGTGAGAGATCTAGATCTGCAGATGTGAGGGTGAGAGATCTAGATCTGCAGATGTGAAGGTGAGAGATCTAGATCTGCAGATGTGAGGGTGAGAGATCTAGATCTGCAGATGTGAGGGTGAGAGATCTAGATCTGCAGATGTGAGGGTGAGAGATCTAGATCTGCAGATGTGAGGGTGAGAGATCTAGATCTGCAGATGTGAGGGTGAGAGATCTAGATCTGCAGATGTGAGGGTGAGAGATCTAGATCTGCAGATGTGAAGGTGAGAGATCTAGATCTGCAGATGTGAGGGTGAGAGATCTAGATCTGCAGATGTGAGGGTGAGAGATCTAGATCTGCAGATGTGCAGGTGAGAAGATGTAGATCTGCAGATGTGCAGGTGAGAAGATGTAGATCTGCAGAAGATGTGGATCTGCAGATGTGAGGAGAAGAAGATGTAGATCTGCAGATGTATTACAACGGCTGCTTTTTTACGAAGAACCCTTCGCAGGCGCTCTCGGGAACAAGTGAAGTAGACAAAGTTGTGTCGCTTCATGGTGGTCGACCATGTGTGAAAAGTAGTGCGTTTTTGGCCTTACTTTGTAAAGCAATCGCCTTTGAGAAAGGCAACGTGCACCCAGCCATTGGTAGCATGCTGAATGCAGCCGGCAAAGCCATGTAGTTTCTTTGACCACATGTTGCTGCATCTTCACACGCTGGTTCTGGTTGAAAACGCTCAAGGAAACATCCAATGCCCAACAGCACACAGCACGTACACGTGCATTCAACTTCTGCTCAGGTGAAAGGGGGTACGAAGCTAGCCTGCACATCAACCATGTCACGAAGGCAAACAATGTTCGACACCGTGCCGCCTTGATACGGGAATCCAGCTCTGGGTATGGCCAGGTGCGGCTCTGACTCGGTTTGCGGCCCAAACGGTGCATAGTTAAAGTTCCCACGTACAAATCTAATTTTTGCTCCCGTGCCCAGGCATGAGCGTGTGAACTCATCCGATATAGAATCGTGTCATCAGAGCAGCCCTGCATTCCATAAAATGCAGCTAGCGTTCCATCATCCAAAGCATCTATGAGACATGATGGTATGATGTCTCGTAGCGTCCCAAGATGGACCAGGTGCAGCAGGTCAAACAATCGACGGTTTTTGGCGAATCCAGGTACCACTGACCAATGTGATGGATCAGCCTGGGTCCGGGTTGAAATTCTCGACCTCCATGGCGCTTTTAGCGTCAAATTGCCAATGCTCAGAACAGCATTGTTTTTTGCAGATGAACCCCAACAAAAATCACAGCACTGATTGCATCGATAATATCGCGTCAAGCGATGAGCAAAATAGTGCGCCTCCATGTCACCTTTCCAATAGCAAAATGCCTTGGGACTGTGTTTTCCATGCCCCAAGCACAAAGCGATTGCAAGAAGTGAAAAACAGGTTGAAACCACAGAAAAAATCAAAACGAATCCAACATGTTTTGTCAATATCTGATGGACCAGCTGCTGCTTTCAAAGGCATGTCATGCCCAGCGTTTCTTTCTCGTTTCGAAGCTGTAGGATGGAATTTACCAGAGCTGTCCACAACATCCCACACACCAAGTTTCAATTGCTTAAAGTCCCATGCCAAAAGTTTGCAAATAGCTTCTCGTGTGTTGGCCGTGACCTGGGGTGTTGCCAACACAGCTATGCACTGCCGGGTCTTCCATGAGTCACCCCGGACACAACCAGTAGACCAACTCCAGATTGTTGCGGTAGAGCCTCACATGTTGGGATGCATGGAAAAGCATGGCAGGACAACATGTCCCAAGGGTGTCTATGTGTGTATGTGTGGGTGATATATACAAGCCAGAGCACCAGAGAAATGCGGAACAGCATCCTCATGCACGATGACAGGGACATAATTGGCCATCTCACCACGCCCACTGGCACACCACAACTCTTGCCAATCATCTGGAGACCCCAGGCATTCTGTCAAAGCCTGTGCACACCGCCAGCTGCGCTTTCAACGGAAATTGTTTCTGACAATTTCATCTTGTGGATGTATGTGCAAACTTCAAGTTTGGGCCTGCAATAAATATGGGTGCATGACAAGAATTTCAACAAGTAAATGGTATTTGTTTTACCTGTCAAATACCTGGAAATTTGATCACGGAAGTGCCTGAGGGCCAGCTTCGTGCAGGGCACACAACAGATCGCTTGGCAACACAAAGGAAACTGATTCCAGGCTTTCCTGGGGCTTGTTGTGAAGCTGGTCAGATCGCGTAGCCTCCAAAAGCAAAGGCACCTTAAATGGGAAATTGTGATGGGCAGCCTCATCCATCTGAAAAAGTCTCGTTGGGTGCACTTCCGCATTTGTTGCAAGCTCACCTTCAGGGCCGGTTTGGTTGGCACATGCGAAACAACTGTCATGCAACACAATCATGGGGATACATCCAATCCAAGGCCGCGGTGACCCGTTTTGGGAATCAGTCATGCATGTTGGTATCATGGTAAAGATGGAATAAGATGGAGACAGCATGTTTTTAAAAGGGTGCGATGACCCGTTTAGGGAATCATGTGTGGTCATGAATCATGAATTGAGATTGGTCTATTGTTCGTGATATCTATGTATATTTTAGGATGGGGTGAACTTATTGTTCATGGTCATGCATGTACATGTCATGAGCTCTGACATGGAAATTCATGAGGGCAGGTGCTTCATGATTGCACATTGAAAACAAATCGATCACCCTGAAAAAAATCATGTAAGATGGCACATGTGTCGCAGCCTTGCTGGCACCATCCTTGATAAAAGCATCACTGCAGTCAGCAGCTGAAGTGACTGACATTCTCCCAGTTGAAATTTGTTCTGCCAATGTACGGGCCCCATGGCTATCCAGTTCGTCCACATCCCTTGGTGTATCAAGTCAGCTCATTTCGACCCCCCAAAGGTTTTCAATTTTCCAATTAAACATTTCAACGCCATAGAGTCACATGTGAATATAGCATGGCCAACGAGTCGCATTTTCTTTCGGTATTTTCGACTGGGCTCTTTCTCAGCTGCATTGGACCTGCGTGCGTCAAAGAGGTCAAGGTAAGCAAAAAAAAACATCAGCCCCTGCATGATCATCAATGTGCACCGCATGAGCGACATGATGCATCTTTTCTTCCCATTGCTCACACGCCCAGCTGAAGTCTCATGTCACCTGCAACCATGGCACCATGAATATGGTGGGCTTCTTGCACGAGATCCCTTCCAGCAACAAAGAAATTTAAGTGCACGAGCCTAAGTAAACAAAGAAGCCGCACCAATTCTGCCACTGCAGGTGTTTCCCGATCGTTGAATCGGGTTCACCCCAAAATTTCAAACACTATAGGAAAAGGATCAAGCCGCGGCCTTAGCCTTGGCTTTGGCTTTGCCCTTGGCCTTTGAGGCCGGCTTGTTCACTTGGCGCACAATCGCCCCTGCCGCAGCATACGGCTTGTCGAAGCCTCGCTGCAACGTGATCATGTCTCGGACAAGTGGGATGTAATCCACTTCCTGCAAGTAAGCACGGAGAATGAAAGCCAAAAAACAGAAATCACAAGACTGGCTGCAGGCATTGAACATCATATTGTTGTGCAAAAACACAAGTTCAAAAGATAGCAATAAACCAACATCGATCACAGATGCTGTTACCAATGTCCTCATTCTTCTGCAAGGAAACCAGCTCCTGCACTTTGAGGTACAGTTGCCTCAAGCAGGTAGATGTATGATCAGTCACCATGTGCAACAACGCATGTGTTGAGCATGCATGCGACAAAAATAAGTCTAGACAAACACTCACCACAAAATGCATCTGGAACACTCGAATTGCTTCGAGAAGTTGTTCATCTCAGTGCAAAGCTGCTCAGCATATGGCACCGATTGGAGGGTCAATGCCAAGTTTGCTGCGTCACTCTTCTTCTTCAACAACTTAGAAGCCATCTCCCGTCCTTTCGCCAAAGGCGTCACAGGTTCTTCCGCCTTTGGAACTCGACGTTTTTTGGCCGGTGGCTCTGGAGCTGCCGGTGTTGCAGGAGCCGAGGAAGAGAGCTCAGACGAAGCCGGCGTGGGGGGAGCTGAAATGCTGCTGGTATCTGACGTTCTGCTCTTGACCGGTACCCTTGCAGGGGCTGACCTTATTACAGGTAAAAATCTTTCTTCAAAAAAATGAAGAAAAGCACAAACCCCAAGCCAGCCATCGCACCGCCACAGCTAAAAACATGATGTCTTAAGCACTGCATACTAAATGCAAACAAAGAAGCATCAAGGAATCCACAGCACTTGCATTGCTCTCGTCCACGCGAATCCTGTTCGTAGTCAACTGGGTTCCTCAGTGCAACGGTTTGCGCATGGTTCTACAAACAGTAGCATGTTGCTATCACAGAAAACATGGAAACAACATGTTTTGAAACAGGGTACGGTGACCCCTTTTTAAAGAAATCATACATGGTCATGAATCATGCATGTTATTTTCATGGTAAGCATGGAAACAACATGTTTTGAAAAAGGGTGCGATGACCCATGAAAGGAATCATACATGGTCATGAATCATGCATGTTAAGTATTAAGGTAAGCATGGAAACAACATGTTTCGAAACGAGGTGCCACTCCGAGTCCCTGATTCATGTTCATCTTCCTTCCTGGCAATCAAAAAGAGCTGCCCCCCTGGAAGATTCTCGTCATCCTCCACAAGGCCCTGCTGGATCTTGTGCTTCATGACTGCCTCTGCATCTGTGCCGTAGTGGTCTTCCATCTCCTTCCTTGTCCAACGAAGTGCTTTCTTGCGATGGTAGTCACCAACACAAGTTTCTTCAAAGGCTTGCAAGGATGCTCCCACAGCTTCCAGCTCTCCATTGCTCTCGCACAGCATTGTGATCAGGTCTGACTTCTTCTCATCGCTGAAAACCTTTTTTTCAACGCTGGGTATCCTTCCACTCTCTTGGGATTGTCTCTCAACCTCGAGATCAAATTGGCAGCCGCCCGTCTTGAGTACGTTTGCCTCTGGTCCAACTTGGGTTCTTCCTTGACGTTCTGCAAGGGCTGTCCGGGCATCCCGTGAGGAGAGGCACTTCCAGCCGGCTGATGGCCTGGATTCTGCAAGGGCTGTCCGGGCATCCCGTGAGGAGAGGCACTTCCAGCCGGCTGATGGCCTGGATTCTGCAAGGGCTGTCCGGGCATCCCGTGAGGAGAGGCACTTCCAGCCGGCTGATGGCCTGGATTCTGCAAGGGCTGTCCGGGCATCCTGTGAAGAGAGGCACTTCCAGCCGGCTGATGGCCTGGATTCTGCAAGGGCTGTCCGGGCATCCTGTGAGGAGAGGCACTTCCAGCCGGCTGATGGCCAGGATGCCCAGCCAGACTTGTGACTTCAGCGGTCGTGGTCACCGGTGGGCTCACACGTTGGTCTGCAGGCGCAGTGGTCTGTGGAACTGGTTGTCCCTTTGAATCATTTGCTGACCCAATGGGCTTTGCAACGGGTGGTCCGTTCAAACCTTGGTTTGTCCCAACCGGTGATCCGCTGGTCGTGTCCAAACCTTTGTCTTCTCCATTGGTCGTAGCAACTCCGTTCAAAGCTTTGTCTGCTCCAGTGGCAACAGCACCTCCATTGAAACCTTGGTCTGCACTCTTCAGAACTGCAACATTCGAAGCATCTGCGCTCGCAGATTGTTGTGGAGTGGCAACTGGCTTGATCCACCCCATCTCTTGCAAAGTCTTCTGCATCTCCTCTGATAGTGCCTCTAGTTGCTGTGGAGCTGCAGCTCTGGCTGCTTCTGGAGGAGCCGCAGTACTCGCTGTCTGGGCAGGCGGCTTGGTCTCAGGTTCTGAAGGTTCCACAGGCGTTGGTGTTGGCGTCTTGGGTGACTTCATATGAGTAGCAACAAACTTACGCACATTGTCTGGGTGTGAGTCCAAAGGCAAAGTTGGCCCAGGCAAGGTCATTCGCAGAGCAGGTTGGCTCGGCCTGACCGCAGTCTGCTCCACTTGTAGCTCAGTCTGGGTGTCGAGGCTTTCCACCTGCATGCATGGGTCATCACATGTCACACATGTGTTTCTTCCCTTTGCAAATTTTCAGTTTTCAATGCACCTGAGTATCGCCGGCCGTCGCTGCAGATTCCAATGTATCCCCAAGCTGCATTGGCTGCAGTGGACGGGACAAGTTCACATGGCGCCTCAGCAGGCAAATAATGAATCATGATTAATCACAATTTCCCAATGTGGTTTTGTTTTGGCATGCTTTCAAGCGTGCATCAAAAATGGAAATAATGTGTGTTCCCTGTGCAAAAAAATATGCTCCTGGCCCATCAACATTCATCTCAACTTCTGGCGCTGTGCACTGGCGAGGTTGAACATCACCTCACGGTTATTTGAATTCCAACAACAAAGCATGACCAAAATATAGCTAGATCTCTTTCAGTAGCCCATGAACAGGGTTAAACTCTATCATGTAAAACCGGCCTGGCTGTGTTTGCGCCAAGCCCTCTTCAACACACCGGGCAACCCCGACCAGGTAAGGGTCTGTCGGGGGTGGGACAAACGTATCCTGGTCTGGCTGATCAAGATCCATTTTCACTGCCATCATTGGAAGGCTACGAACCTTGAACTTGTGAGTTGAGCCCCTGAAATCCTGGGAAAGAGCCCACATAAAATTGGTTTTCTGCAAGAATGCAACAATGGAAAAAAATGTCACAACTTAGGTCAGACCATGCATGACGGAGGTCACGGAAGTCACGGTCTGGTCACGGCTCGCGCTTTCCTAGAATGAATTGGGCGTTTCTTCTGGTCACGGCCCGGTCACGGTTTGGTCACGCCCCTGTCGGGCATTTTTTTTTCAGAGCGCCACGGTTGGCATGCCATATCTGTGTTCGAAACAACATGACATGTCAAAACATGCATCATGTCCCCTATTTTTTTACTATGAGATAAGGGCGTATGCCCTGTGGTGGTTTCCATGAAATTCGCATGAATCAAGCATTTAACGCTCCAACCCGTGGCTCCAGCATCTGCTATACTACAAACATTAGGCCATCTATGGCCCAGCATAAGGTTTCCTAAGCTGTTCCAAGGCATCAGGAAGACCACCATCTTCGAACTCATGGTGATTGCGCTGGCTATATGCAACAATATGGGTTCACTCATTGCAAAGCAATGATGCTCCCTTTATTTACAACAAAGGAAAAATTTTGTCTCTAGACAAAATTAGGCAGTTTCAATGCCAGTATCTCGGAATTTTGATGTGCTAAACATCCAAACTGGAAACGCAAGTTTTTGTAAACTTTGAAAGACCAGGTTTCTGAAAAGGAATCGACGAAACACAAGTTTTTTGAAGTTGTGTACGGTTGGTCTTTTGTTTACTATCTGGAATTTTAAATAAAAGGTTTGAAGTGGTTTGTCAAACAACCTGACTGTCAAATCTTTCCTCTGTTTTATTTTTAAATAAACGGACATATATGTATGACCGTGCTCGCCTCAAATAGGGTGGGAGGAGTGGGTTTTTAGATCTTGCATTTCTGAATGTGAGATGTAGCACGGGGGTTTAGTTTGTGCGATGGATCTGACGGTTGACTTGGTGGATGGTGCAGTCCCATGGAGTCATGATGAGCAACCGGACGTTCATGGACAGTTGAATTTGCTTGAACAAGGTACAGACTATGAACCTTCAGTGCTTACAGATTTTCATGCCATGCTGCCTGTGGATTCAGACATGTCGATGGAGACAATGGCGGAGAGTTACGATCCTGAAAGGGTGGTTCAATCAGCTTGGAAATCTTTGGCAAATAAAGAGGTAGAATTACCATGGGAAGGTGGTTTCTGGGACAAATTTCTGGGTCCAAACATTCCTGCAATTGAGTTATTCACCAGGGGCATCAAGAGGCCTCTTCCTTTTCATGTTGAATCAGCCTCATCAAGTGCAGAGGTTTCCGAAGTGGGCAGGCGTGCAATGTCTACGCAGACAGTGGATATCAAGAACTTCCTGCAGCACATAAGAGATGTGCCTATTAGGACTTGGCAAGAAGAACGAGAAGCTGTCTGGGAAACAGCTGTGAGGCGCTGGGTGGTGTTGCTGGATCAATGGAATGCAAGTGATACCCCGTTGCTTTTGACATTGCAAAGCAAGACCACGTTTGTCGAGAAGGCACAGATTTTGGTTGATGTCTTTTTCAACAAGGCTCCACAGACTTTGATGAAGAGAGTGAACAGTTTGGTAAAACTATGCAGTACGCTGCGTGGTCTTGGAGTGGCTTTTCCTTGCACCGAAGAACAATTTTACCTGTTTTTGAAGGGTGAGATTAACTTGAAGGCACCTGCGTCGAGGCTGAAGGCCTTCTTCGAGGCGATTGTCTTCAGTCGTTATGTGCTTGGAGTTGAAGTGCTACAGAACATTGTCAGCAGCAGGCGTTGTCTAGGAGCTTCACTGAAGTCGGCACTGACATGTCCAAGACAGGCCATGCCATTTACAGTGGTTCAACTTCGCAGGTTTCATGAGATTCTGCGGGAAGGGGAGGAACTTTGGGACAGAGCCATGTGCGGCATGATCCTTTTTTGCACGTATGGACGTTCAAGATGGTCGGACTCGCAACATGCAGAAGATCTCATACAGGATCGCGATGATCAGGGCGTGCTCCAGTTTTTGGAGATCAAAGCCTCAGTCCACAAAACTGCTAGGGCGCTCCATATGCGTCACATGTTCCTGCCAGTAGCAGCCCCAGCTGTTGGTGTTACCGATGAATGTTGGGGTGAACAGTGGATGCTTGTCAGACGCATGTTGAAGATTGAGGATTTGAATGTTTACCCTTTGATGCCTGCACCTGACAGCAGCTTGGAGCCAACGCCAAGACCTGTTTCGACGTCGGAAGCCAAGAAATGGATTCAATACCTTTTGGGGTCAGAGTTGTTTAAACCTGGCATGACACTCACAAGTCATTCGTGCAAGTGCACTTGTCTGAGCTACTTAGCAAAGAGGGGCGCCAGCTATGAGGACCGTTTAGTCTTGGGCTATCACGCCAACAAACTCAGAGTTGCAATGACTTATAGTCGTGACAGTGCTGCCCGACCCTTAGCTCTCCTTTGTCAGGTTTTGCAGGAATTCAGGCAAGGCCAATTTGAGCCTGATTGCACAAGGAGCGGACGTTTGAAGTCAGGTGCCAAGCCGTTGACAGGAGATTTTCAGGTGTCACATGTGGGACATGGCAATGATGTACATGACACGACCGAAGTTTTGTCAGATGAGCATTCAGATGTTGAGTTGGTCGGTGACCCAGCCACAGCTGTGAAGAAGGAGTCTTCAGCAGGCGTTTTGGATGCACAGGATCTTTCAGGTCATGCTACGACTGGCTCAAGCGACTCGTCAGGTGAAGAAATTTCAGCTTGGGCCCCGGTTGTTGGACACTACATTGTAGACATTCCTTCGGACAAACGCTTGTGGGCCAACCGAAATACGAAAATGTTTCACCTTTCTCATGGTGACTGCGTGAGGGTTCTCCTTTGTGGGAGAAGGGTCACATCAAGTTTCGTCAGGCACGAGGATCCAATAAGGTTCGATGCCGCAAAATGCAGGCAGTGCTTCAGGTTGAAGAACTCAGAGCGCTGAAGGCGCAGAGAGTGGCAAAAAACTGACTGAAGCAGACCGTTTTTTCCATATGTCATTGTCATCCATTTTAATGCATGTCAGGTTGAATCGTTGTGGCATGTTGTCAGCTTTTCCATTTTGATGGGGTTTTTTGGAAACTCAGATCAAAGGGGAAAAAGCACTGATCAAGGAATAGCCAGGATACATTGCATTTGCGCAGTCAGATCTGGCTATAGGTTGGTCAGCAGTTTGGACAATCAGACGCATGCAAGCGTTCAACTTGTTGAAATTTTTTCATGTTTAAAAATTTTTATCACGATGTGATCACGTGGAACTGCTGGAAGGTAGGTCTGGCACTCAGCAACAACACTGATGCAGAAAACTTTCCATATGAGCGTTCAAGTCAATTGCGCATGGAATAAAATTTTTAATTTTCTCACATGACAGGTGACGGTAACAGGAACCTTAAATCTTGATTGAGGGTCTCTAGGTCACTTGACATGTTTTAGTTGGATAGGGTCGTCGGAAAGAGCCGTAGCAATGTCTTTGGCAGATTCCGAAGCGGCTTTTCAACTTCACTGCAATAAGCTCAGCCCAGATGGCCGAGTTTTTGGGGTGTTGTCGAACCAGCACATCAACAACCTTAGCAGTTTGGCCTTTGCAGTGGGCACACCACAGAGCCCACCAAGTGAGGATCAGTTCAAGGAGTTTGCAACAGGTGTCAACAATGGAGTTGAGATGACCTTTGGTGAATTAGCAATTTTACGGCGGCTTCATTTTGAGGCATCAGCAATAGTTATGGCGGAGCTGAAAAGCAAAGCAACTGACACCACAGGAGATGGACAGAGAAAACTGCCCATTGCTGAAAAGAGTGCCAGGCTTTTGGATCAGGAGAAGAGACTCCCAGGATTGAAGCTCCGAGGTGAGTTACAACCCTCATTTGCGTTGGTGGACATGGTGGCGCAGATGAAGGAGACAAACACCATTTTGTGGATACCGCCGAGCAAATGCAGTAAGCGGGATGCTGAGATACAGAATAATTTGAAGGAGAAACCCGCAGTGCTATCGCTTGAGCAGCAGATGGTAAAACTGGCGGCCACCGAAGACCACATTACTGTGGATACATCCACTGACTTACAGCTTCAATGGGCTTTGCAGAGACGAGGCTTGGCATTTGACCAGTGCACATTGCTGAGCCACGATGTACATGAGACTTGGGTGCAACAACTCCTGAGTCAACTTACAAGAGATGCACCAACGGGCTTTGCAAGAGTCACGGTGACTCAAATCATCAGAGCGGACCGTGAGTTGTTCACGCTCATGGCACAGGAGATCCAAGGGACGCTCCAGCCCAACCAAAGGGGCGAACTGCCGATGGATTTGAAGTTGCGTGAATTACGCACTGACCCCAGAGTGACCATGTTCTTGCTACCGCTCCCCAAGAGTCAGGCCA